TTTTTTTTTTAAGATGTCCTGGTAAGAATGGGTGATGAGGAAACTTGAAGAAGGACCACTAAAAGGAAAAAACAAAACAAAACAAACATGTTTATAGGGAACTAAAAGCCTTTTTAAAAAACTCTTTCTCTTACTTCTTCTATTGTTTAAATAGGTGACACACAGAACTCAAGACATACATATTCCCTTACACAATAAAATCTAAACTTATGACTTCAGCATATTTTTCTGGGTTTATTTTCCCTACTTAAGGCAGTGGTTAAGACAGAGCTACCTGATGGCAAGAACCACTTTACCTGTAGTATTTGTATTAACACCTCCAACCGCATCACATGTCAAATATGTAAGTAGATTTGAACTGAGCCACATTTTGCTAATAGTTTGTTGTATGATTTTGGAGAAACAGCTTTAACCTTTGAACAATCCTTTCTCCAGCTTCAAAAATGAGTATAATAGTATCTCAATCCATAACTTTATAAGATGTATCAACAAATAAAACTATTGTGTTAGCTTGGGTTCCAATAACAAAATACCAACAACTAGAAGCTGAAGTCCCACATCAGGATGCCAGCATGGTCAATTACAGGGGAGAGCTGTCTTCCAGGCTTGCACATGGCCCCCTTGCCACTGTCCTTTCATGGTGGAGATAGCAAGCTCTCTGTTATCTCTTTCTATAGGAACACTAATCCTATAGAATTGGGTCCCCACTCTTATCATCTCAAAAAGTCTTAAGTGCTTCCTTAAAGGCCCTATATTCAAATACAATCACATTGGAGGTTAGGGATTCAACATACAAATTTTGGGAGGGGATATAACTGCAACAGCCACTATAAAATATGCAAAGGTATTTAGACCCTTAGAATAAATTTAAAATCACTTCCATTATTCATTTTGGATGCTAATAATGGGATATAGACATAGAATAGCTGTTGTCAAGAGTTTCATGGTTTACTTGCTGGAGCCAACTTGAAGCCAGGAAGGGGTCAATAGGTGATTTGTGCTTGACCTTGTGATCCTAAATAATAGCAACCAAACCATACATATCAGCACTCAAATGAATAATTTTGAAGTTAAATGCAGAAAAGTGTGAACTCTTGGGAGTTACGGTCAGGGCCAGGATTAAAGAAGGGATAGGAAAATGTATTAATTTTTACTTAAACTATATTTACTTAACGATCTATCAAGTACTAGGCAGTGGAGAAAAACAATACTGACATGGTTCCTGACTTAATAGAGTTTACCTTCTAGGTACGGATACGGACAAGCTCTTTTAACAGCTTGGGTGGGGAAAATACCAGTGCTTCATGAAAGGTACCTAACACAGCAAGCTTCCTTGAGGAGGCAAGGAAGCGGAGCCACAGAGTCGGTTCGGGAGTAATAATGCCCGCTGAGGGCGAGGGGCTGTAGTACCGGCGTGGGGAGAACCAACTTACTGATGACCCGGCAGGTGGCTGGGGCTGGGTCCCCAAGAATGGGCACACCTGGCACCGAAGGTCATTGTCCTCCTCACAGAATGGCTACCACAGAGACTGGAAAGCTATCCACGCACCAGGGCACTTACAAGGCCCTCAGACTCAGCTTATTTCGGTTTATGGCCCAAATTAACCATACGTCTTCTATTTTTCTCTCAAGTCGTCATTTCAGGCCGTTTGGTTTGTTTTTCGTTTTTGCTCCCCGCCCTTAAAAATCTGCTGGCAAGACCCTCTTTCAGGTGCCGAAACCAGAAGGGAGTTCCCAGAACAGTTGGGGCTTAACTTGGGAAGCAATAATTTCTGCTGTGGAGTCCCTAATGTGGCACTGAGGAAGAAAGGCCCAAAGTAATCAGCCAGAGCAACCGAAGAGGCAAAAGCGAAAAGAGTCAGGGTCAGGCCAAGCGCTTCCCAACCTCTCGCTCTCTCCCCGCGGAGCTGCTTCAGCTAGCTCCACGCCCTACACACCGCTTGATTGACATGCGGACACGAGCAATCCGAGCGCGGCGCAGACAGCCCTCGCTTCAGGGATAGGAGGGAAGGGAGCGACTGAGCCTATCGGATTGTGCCGGGAGGGGGTTTCCTGCCCGCGCGGATCCGCCCGCCGCCTCCCGGCCAGTCGGTGCTGGAGCCCCGCCCGCTCGCCGCGCGCCTCCCGCCCCTCTCCCGAGAGCTACGCGGCGGCAGAGCGGAGGCCTCGTGCCGTAACGGCCATCGCGGCGGCCGCGGCGGCGTCCCGGTGCCCTCCTGAGGTGAGCTGGGGCCGCACGGACCCAGCAGAGGGAAGGTGAGACAGTCCTGCCGACAGGCAGACGGCAGACAGCGGTTCCTTCCCCCGTACGTCCACACAGCCTGTTACTCGCTGCGTCGCTTCCTCTTCTCCGGCGAAGTTAGCTCCCCGGGCGCCGTCTGCCGGCCCGGAGCTGAGCCGGAGGGGGCGGGGAGGCCGCTCGGCCGGGCCTGGGCGTTTGCACCGCGGCTCCGCGCGACCCTCTGGTCAGTGCCTCGGGTGGCGCAGCCCCAGGCCTCGCTCTGGCCGGCCGCTCTTGCAAGGCTGGGAGGTCGAGGGTACGGCGTGCGCGCTCCCCCGGTTCTTTTTCCTCCCTAAAAAGTCCTGTTGGCTGTTGTGGCGTAATCCGAGGCCGGGAAGGTAGGGACCTGGTAGAGGAGGGAAGGGGCACGCTCATCTCCAGCGCTAGAGAAGGGGAAGGACCCGCAACCTGTGTTGAGGGTGGACATCCTTGGGATGCGCCCTGTGCCCCTCCCCTCCCCCCCTCCGCCGTTTCCCTCGTTCTCGGGAAATCTGGGTTATTTTAACTGTGTGGTCCTGCTGTATATACGTACGTTTGCTTGTTGCTTGCGCTGTGAGCTTTTGACTTTAAGTGTAATATACCCGGTAAAAGAAAGAAATCTCAATAGTTGGTTTTGTACTGTTTTCTTAGGCGCTTCCATAAAAGTTAAATTTGCAGTTAGAAGCTTGGGAAGCTGGATTTTTTTTAGGGCTGAGAACTGTAACATTATAGGAGCTAAAGTTAATGTCGAACGGATGAGCTGGTCACCTAAAAATAATTTTACCCGTTAGATTTGGTAAGAAACCGTAGGAGTTAGGAAAGAATGAAGTTGAGAATTTCTAATCCCATCTTGGATGGTGAGCGAAGAAGATCACTGTTTGATCAAAACGGGTAAATGTTGCAAGAGGTACTCATTTTTAGAAGGCCTACTTTGGTAAATTTATGAAAAACCAACCATACAATTTGTTAAGCATTTGGAAAGCACTTTTTTTAGAATCTCAGTCTTCATCGAGGTCACAAAGTAAATGGAGAAATAAGCCAAGAAGGTTTTGTTTGTTTGATAATTGTCAGTAATGTTCAGTTCTTAAATAGGCTCCCATTCACAGTTTGATAGTAACTCAAGAACTAAGCATTGGTTGTTTAATAGTAGTTTTATTCCATCTTGATCACAGACTCGAATTTTCTTTTTTGGGAAAATTGTGATCTGGAGGAAATAGTTATAATACCTGTAAACACTATTTGCAGAGTACTCAAGATTTAGCTGTCCTTGTTCACATATTACATTTTAAATTTCTGCTTTATTTTTCTGCACATTATCTTTTAATCCAGGCTTCACCAGTGCTTTCAGGTCCATGTAAATAAAATTTCACACATACACAGAATGTTTTGTTAGATACCGAATGATACTTTATGCCTATGGGTTTATTTTCTTTTGGACCTTTGAGAGCTTTCTTGCCAAAAAGCTCAAGGTAGATTTGATGTGATTATTGTTATAAATCTCTTGTTGGAAAGGCCTGGGTGGCTCAGGTCACGCTATCACGGTTCATGAGTTCGAGCCCCACATCTGGCTCACTGCTGTCAGTGCAGAGCCTGCTTCTGATCCTCAGTCCCCCTCTCTTTCTCCTCTCTCTCTCTTTCTGTCAAAAAGAATACATATTAAAAAATAAATACACGATACAGTCCATTTTTTCCTATCGTAGTATCACAGTTTAACAAGTTTCACAATTTACTTACCTTTATAATGTGGAAAGATACCAAATGTGCTCTACCTACATCAGGAGATTAAATGATTATTTAGTTGCTAAGTAAAATTGGAGGAAACTCCGTGAAATCACTAAGCATTTAACAAATTCCTTGTAAGTACTTGGCTGTGCTGTTTTAGGAAGACAACTGATGTTTAAAGATCGTTTAAGGCAATGATTCTATCTGGATGATCCTCATTTTACTGATTCCATATATGCTTTGTTTTGGTATACCATACTTTCAGCTATCCAGACACAAACCTTGTGTCTTTGACATCTTTCATTAATATAACATCGGCAAATTTTCATCCACCATTTTTTTGGAAATTTCTTTCGTATATCTTTTCCTTTAGCTTTTAACTAGGTTTTCTGCCTACCTTTTCTCTCTATTCAGTATGTTCTGCCTTCTGCCTTCTGCCTTCTGCCTTAATCTTAAAATAATGCTTCCAGCACGTCCGTCACTGTGAAACCAGCAATAGCTCCCTGTTACCTACAGAGTATACTTCAGAATTCCTCATCTTCTGATAGTCTGCTCAAAGCCTACTTTTTTTCATATGACAGTGGTATTTCTCTATGGGAGCTGTCCATCCTAACTAAACCAATCTCTCATTCTCATTTAGACTTTGTGTTTGTCTACCTTCGTATCTGTTGAAAATTTGATTGCCTATCCATAGCCCTCTTATTCTTTAAAAGAAATCCCCTCAAACCCCCCCAGATTATTACCAAAGTAGCAAATGAAATCCTATTTTGTTGAAATTTAATTTTTAGTCCTGAAGTCAGTGCAGCCTTCCAGAACTTTCTGTTCCCTGTGTTGTTGCTTTCCTTTGAACCCATAGCCTTACTGTTTTATCATTCCTTT